TGTCTCCCTAAGACACATCAGCCCTCTTCGGCCTGGAAGCTCTGGATGGCACGTCGTCACTCCACTTGGGAGCCGTTTAAACAGTCAAGTCCCCGACAACGTGCACAGAAATGCAGACAGCATGGCACTCAATAGGCAGCGCCAAGGCTCTCTGCAGAGCGAGAGCCAAAACAAGGAGCGACTCCAGGTTTGCGCTCTGAGCACTGGCGGGTCTGTGAGAGACGACAGATGTGCTGTGCGTGCTGGTTTTGGGTTCCAGTACATGTTAGAGAGCAGGTGCGTTAGAAAATACGGATCAACTGAACGTATGCGCTCCCTGCCCGGAGTCCGCATTCCAGTCACACCTGAGACGAGGGTGGGCGGGGGGTGGGGGTGGGGGGGAGTTAACAAAGCTGCTGTGATAATCAGAGCCTGCATGTCCTTTTCCGCACGAACAATGGGGAGCCTGCTCTGGCCCACCCCTGTGTATGCGACGTCTAGTTGCTCCTTGATACCCATTCTCCATTTCTTCCCTAGGCAGCAGCTTTTTAACCCGAGGCAGAGATAAACTGCTAACACTCTGCAGCATATATATATATATATATATATATATATATATATATTATTATTATTATTATTATTTTTACAGAGAGGGATAGAGAGTTAGAAACATTGATGAGGGAGAAACATCCATCAGTTGCCACCTGCACACCTCTTACTGGGGATGTGCCCACAACCAAGGTACATGTATCAAAAAAACAAAGTATTTGTTAGGGCCAAATATATATATATATATTGTCTATCTGACAAGAAACAACAGGTATAATTTCAATTCATTCACACACCGCATGGCTATTGTGGTGTTGGCATTTTTTTTTTTTTTATTTGACAACAGAGGTCAGTGCCCTGACTAAATAATCAGGTGCTGAGTGTTTTAGATTCTTGAGGCACGCCGGTTGAAATCGCTGCCCCCGAAAGTAAAAGAGCAATATTCTGGTGGTCACATGACCCCCCTTTCCTTCCCCTGCTCCCCAGCTACATGGCTTCATTTCTCAGACCCTCTTACGTAAAGTAGTTAGGGCCTGATGACCAAGTTCAAACCAATAAGAAATGAGCAGCAGTGTTGTGTGGGACTTCTAGAAGCTCATCCACACTGTTCCTCCTCTGGCTGGCTAGGATGCTGACGTGATGGCTGGAGCTCAGGCAGGCACGGTGGACTATGAGGTGGGAGCCAGGTGTTGCGGATGGCAGAGCCACGGTGAGAAGGAACCTGGGGTGCCTGGGGTTGTGGAGCAGCCACACAGTCCTTTGCGGACCACCTGGTCTGAGAAACAAGCCGCTCTCCTGTTCACGCCCCCGTGGCGCGGGTTTTGCTGCTGTTATTTGCTTGTTTGCTTATCTGCAGAGCGAACCCAGTCTGAGGTGCTAGGGAGGCTTCCAATCCTGGTGTGCCATTAGCCAGCTCACTACCCAGACTGGGGTCACTTTACCTCTTTGCATCTCAATATTCACGCCAGCAAACTGGCGGGGAAATAAATGATTAGTAATTAGAAAACTTTCTCGTTCTAAAATCCTCTGATTCTAACTAGTCTGAAATACAAGCCTTCCGACGTGTTCCTAAGGTCATTTTCCTAAGAAGGGTGGAAGGCGAGGTGTGGTTGTCATGGAGATGCCCTTGGGGTGCTATCTAGTGCTAACCAGGCCCAGAGAAGATGGGACAGAAGGAACCTGGGCCCGCAGGGAGAGCCAGCACGTGGTCAGAAAGGCCAGTCAGAAGGGCGGCAGCCCGATCCCTGTCAAAGGACGCCACTGCTTTTGCCCAGGCTCAGGCACCAGGAAGCGGTGGGAGCAGGGTTTCTTAAGCAAGAAAACCAGAGATGACTCCGGCTTACCACAGCGCAGATGTCCAGAAGAGGGCAGTCTAGGACATCCGGAGAACGGACCTGAGACGTAGAGCCGCCAATGGCCCTGGTCCCAGCAATGGAAAAGGCTTCCTGGCCCCCCAAAAAGATGGAATCTCAGAGCCAGGTCAGGACTTCGTGGCCCAGGTGGGCCTCGATGAAGAAGCTGCCACGACCTATAGCTGTCTATTCTGTTTTGGAAGTTCCAGTTCCCGTCTTTTCAAGGCCTGGTTGCTGCGGCTTGGTGGATTGAGTGGCGTCCCATGGGCCAAGAGGTCCCGAGTTCGATTCTCAGTCAGTCAGGGCACATGCCTGGGTTCCGGGCTCAATCCCAGTAGGGGGCGTTGCGGGAGGCAGCTGATCTGTGTGTCCCACTCATCGATCTTTCTGTCTCTCTCCTCTCCCTTCCTATCTAAAAATTAATAGAGAGAAAAAACATTAAAAAACAAAACAAAACAAAAAACGATGGTTACCCAAGACCGTGAACTCTTTCCAGAGAGGTAGGCCGCCTGCTGTCTCTCTGCCTCCCATTTCCACGTGGACTGTGGAACCACCGGAAGCGGATGTGAGTTAGGTTGCCAAGGAAATACAAAGGTGTTCATTTCTGTGCGGTTCCGCCTTTTTCTTTCCTTGATTTCCCCCCCAAAAAAAACCCAAAACAAACATACTTTATTTCTCTTCTAGGGCAGGGGCTGTACCTACTGGTCTATTTTTAAAAATATATATATTTTTTATTTATTTTAGAGCTGAAGGAGAGGGAGAAAGAGAGATAGAAACATCAATGATGAGAATCATTGATTGGCTGCCCCCTGAACTTGTCCCCTCCCCCCCCCCCGCCCTTGTGCCCACAACCCAGGCATGTGTCCTTGACTGAAATCGAACGTGGGACCCTTCAGTTTGAAGGCTGACGCTCTATCCACCGAACCAAACCAGTCAGAGCCCACTGGTCTATTTAGAGCAAGGTCAGGGCCAACCTGACCCAGAGAAGATGCTCAACGCATGTGCCTTGAAGATCGGACAGAAGGAGCCTGGGCCCGGAGGGAGAGCCAGCATGTGGTCAGAAAGGCCAGTCAGAAGGACGGTCCTAGCCGAAAGGAGGGCGGGGCTGCAGCAAGCTGTCCCGTGTCTGCAACAGCGAAGCGGGATTCTTCTTTCCCGTTGGGTGAAACGCCATCACAGACATTTAATTGCTTCAAGTGAACTGTTCCGTAGCATTTGGTAGGTGCACAAGGTGGTTCCACCATCACCCCATCAAGTCCCCGAGCATTCTGTCACTCCCAAAAGGGAGGCTCGTGCCCATCTCAGGCTGTTCTGTGTGCTGGGAGGGACGGGGTGGTGCCAGCGTGAAAGCAGCCCAGTGGAAGGGCGTCAGGGGGTTCTGACACCTGGAGTGGCACGGATTCTCCTGGAAAACATGCTGAGCGAGGGAAGCCGACCGAAGGCCGCATACTGGCTCCATTTATATGAAGTGAGTGTCCACAGACACAGAGGAGACTCAAGATGGCAGGGGAGGGGCTGGGGGAGGGGGAAGGGAGAAGGGGCTGGGCAGGGGCAGAGGGAGGAGGCAGGTGCAGGGAAAGGGGCAGGGGGAGAGGGAGCCTGCTACACTCTCCCCGGAACCAGAAGACAGGACCAATGCTGTCCCAGGTGATGCCCAGCCGATGGTTTGAGGGACACGCAGCTGCAGGTGGTCATGCTCTGCCTGGACTCACACCCCACGTGCCTGGGAGTCCGAGTGGAGGCCAGAGACTACGAGGCTGGAATTCCAGGCCCTCCTGTAACCCCCACCCCTCCTGCTGGCACACTGTCTCTCCCAACAAGCATCCAGACTCCGTAGAAGCTTCAGGATCAGTGAGAGAATGAGCTCTTGGAGGGAACCGCTCACAGTGACAGGCTGACCTCCATGAACAGCAGATCACTGGAAAAGTGGAAAATGCCAAAGGCCCTGTCTCCTCCTGCTGGAGGCGGTGGGCAAGGACGGGTGAAGGACACCCACTTCTTGCAGTCCCTGGGACTGTGCAGGGAAAGCCTGTCCAAGTAATTAATGGAAGCAATTAGGGGTCAGATGGTCACGGGTGGAAATCACACAGCACCCAGTCACAGATGCCAAGGCTGGCCGTGCCAAGGAGAGGACACAGGGGTGGGGCAGGAGGACTCAGAGAGGAGAGGGGGCTGCTGCACTGCCCAGCAGGACAGGGAGCGGATGAGGCTCGCTCTCGGACTCTCCGATGAAATGTAGGCTATGAAGTCTGCATCCCTAATCAGCAGCCCACACTGAGGCTGAGGGGAGGCTTCTGAGCCACAACAAAACTGGCAACTGCTGAGGAGGCCACACCAGCAGTGGTTCCTGGCATCGCAGCCCTGGGCTCAGCACTGCCCTGGCAAGTGAAGAGGCATTTTCCTTTCATGCATTTGCTGCATCTTGTAAATCCTTCCCTGGTTGTATTTTCTCACTTCAAGTCCTTGGGAAGGGTAGAAAATGTTCCATCTACCCATCCATCCATCTATCCATCCGCCCACTCACCTGTTCATCTACTCACCATCCATCCATCCATCCATCCACCCACCTACCTACCCATCTGTCCATCCACTCACCTACTCACTCATCAATCCACCCACCCACCATCCATGAGCCCACCCACCTATCCATCCATCCATCCACCCACCCTCTTCATTTATACACTTCACAATATAATTTTTTAAAAGAGGTGACGCTTATTTTTACTGAGAGACTTCACAATATTAATCAGGCTCCGGCCAAGCCCACACCAGGTCTAGGCTCTGGGAATACAGGGGAATCATGACAAGCATGGGACTCACTCTCGTAGCGTGCAATCTGCACAAGCAAGCCAACGACACCCAGGAGGCCCACCCAGCCCTGAGTGCTGTGAAGAGAATGCATTAGAGGGCGGCAGGTGAGGGTCTCTTTGGCTGGGATGGGCAGGCAGACTTCTGAGAAGGTGACCTTTGAGCTGAGACCTGACTGACAAGAAGAAGTAAAGGTCAGGGCCGTGGTGGGGAAACTGCGGCTCTCGAGCCACATGCGGCTCTTTGGCCCCTTGAGTGTGGCTCTTCCACAAAATACCAGGTCCTGGGCGAGTCTCTTTTGAAGAAGTGGCCCCATCTGTCAAGCCCCACAGGGCCCAGTGCTGCTCACGTGTGTCGCCTCACATCACCCCGCTGGGCCCATGACCCTGCTGGTGCCGTACTGTCTCAGAACCAACGGGCTGCATCCCACACGCTGGAAACCACTGCCTGCCACGGTCTCAGCTCCACAACCACGTCTCTCACACACACACACACACACACACACACACACACACACGCTGAGGCCGCAGGGGAGGTTTGCAGAGGCCGAGTCCCAGTTCATTTGTTTCATCATTTTACCATTTTGTGGGTCCGATGCCTCCTGCTTTCTAGAAGCCTGGCCTCCAGGAAGGTTTCAGCGCAAATTCTGGAGCTGGCGAGTCTGGAACAGAGCCAGCAGAGGGGACGGCTGGGGAGCAGCTCAGGGACAGGGTCTGGGGATGGGGAGAGAAACGCCAGAGGGAAGTGACTCTGAGCAGAGCCCATGGGGCTATTCAAAGCAAATGTCCTTCCTTCGAGGGCCGCTGCCTCGGGGGTAAGAATCGAGGTTTGTTTTCTGTCCACAAAGGTTTTCCCAACCAGAATGGAACCACCACCACCCTCCCGCCAGCTCTTGGCTTACTCCTGGGTGCCATGTTAGCCAAACGTGGGAGAGAGACCTGAACCCCAACCCCTACTGTCTGAGCGGCCGCCTCCTGGGAGGAAGGAGGTGTGACCTGGTGGCCCAGGCCAGGCCAGAGACGTGGATGTCACAAAGTCATCGTTGTGGGCGAGCGCTGCGAGTCTGGTTTCCCGCCGGCAGCTGTGAAGCTTGACTCCATCATCTCCCCACGCACCCCACACTGGGCCGCAGCCCCTCCTCCAGGAAGCCTTCCTGAGCTCCTTGAGCTAAGGATTATACACTCTGAGGTCGGAGGTCCCACCCGGTGCGTCCCAGGGTCCACTCTGGGCGGCTCAGGGCACTGACCGCGTGGGTCTCAGCATCTCCCTCTCTCCTCGGACGGGAGCCACCAGCGTGGGCTCAGTCGTCCTCATCCTCATCTTCCTCCTCGGCGTCCTTGCTGGGGGTGCACCTCTGGAAGCACTGCACCACGGTGGCCAGGACGAAGCTGGAGATGATGGCGGCGATGGACACGGCCACGCCCGAGAAGATGATGATGAACAGGTCTGTGAGCGAGAGGCTGAACTTGCACTCGCTGAAGCTGGCCTCCGACAGCTGGCGCAGGAACACCCTCCTGTTCTCGGGGGGCAGGGAGCACTGGATTTCATCGAGGCCTGGACAGGGCGGGCAGGGCGAGAGACAGGTTTAGGCTGTAGCACAGGATTGCCTAAAAGTTGGCAAGGCGGGTGCTTGCAAAGTGCAAAACAGAAGCAGCCCCCCCAAAAAACAAAAGGGGGAGAAGTTGATTGAAATGGAATTTGAGCTTTTTTTAAAGCCTCAGTGTAACTACGATGGGACACATGCTTTAAAAAAATATATTTTCTTTTATTGATTTCAGAGAGGAAGGGAGAGGGAGAGAGAGATACACACATCAATGATGAGAGAGAATCATTGATTGGTTGCCTTCTACTGGGGATGGAGCCCACAAGCCAGGCAAGTGCCCTAACCAGGAATCAAACCCTGGCCTCCTGGTTCATAGGTCAATTCTCAACCACTGAGCAACACTGCCTGGCTATGGTACTCTCCTAATTTTGAGTCACTCAGGATGGTGACGGGAAGGCAGCATAAACTTTTAGGGTTTAGGATCTCTATAGACCCTAATCCAGACCTGGTAATACCCGGCCTCTGGGAAGGGGGATGGAGGGCAGGGCACATGCTGTGGGGTGGGGGCTGCTAGTATGTGTTACCAGCATAATCTGTACATCCTGACTGATACACAATATGAACTACGTACAAAGTGTAGACTTCAGATACAAAAAAAATGCATGACATTAAAATGCATAAAGAACTCACATTTTCTCTTTTTTATGTGGAAGAAAAGAGAAAAACAAAACAATAGTAGCTCACCCTCATATTGCACTTACAAAGTACTAACACTGTTCTAAGTGGTACGTACATATTAACTTCCAATTCGCACAGCCACCTTCTGAGGTACGCACTGTTGTTATGCCAACTATGGATGAGAAAATGGAAGCTCGGAGAGCATAGAGAGTTGCTTTCAGCAACACAGCTTCTCAGAGATGCAAGAACACCATATGTCATTAAGGTTAAGCACACTTGCCTCTGACCTCTGCTTACCTCGGGCTTCCTTTTGTTAGAAATAAGGCGAGCCCCCCAAGTCAGGGGTTCTGGTAGAACACAAAACATACTCAGGAGCCAGGCAGCAAGGCAAACATCTTTACTTTTACATAGAAGGGTGCACACACATGGTCTGGAAGTGTGTGCACACCAGCAGGTGGGCTGCTCGGCTTTATAATTCCTGATGTATGTGACCTGTCCCTTGCTAGGAGCTCAGGCACACAGTCTTTTGTGATTGGCTAATTGAAAGGGAGGGGCTGGCCTTTGCTGTTTCAAGATGGTGGCCCCCAGGGGAACTGCAAGCCATGTGGCCAACATGGCGACTGCCAAGTCACGCAGTCCAAAATGGTGGCTGTCTAAGCTGTTCTTTGACAGAAAAGATGATTTATTTATTTTCACACTCAGGAAAACCTTCCATTGCTCACTTCTTCAGCACTTCCTGAATTCAAAAGCTGACCCTCAACCCATCTTCAGAATTACCTGAAAGTTTAGATGATTTCTTCGAACCACTCTAATTAACTGGTTTCTGTCTTGCAAAGAGTGGCTCCACTAATTGCAGAGTAAACCTGCAACCACCTTTTGGGGTCTTTATTTGCATATGTTTCCTTCTCCAGCTTAGAAACAGAAGAGGAATGAAGAGTGGCTGAGCTTCCTCCTTCCTTCTGTCCTGGCCCATCTTTTATGTATCAATAGCCAATCTATGATGCTCTCTTCCCCATGGGAACCATTGCCTGGCAACCAGATTCACAGTCTCTCCTCCCAGACTCAGTGCCTACCTTCTCTACCCAAAGAATTAACTGGACCAGAACTCTGCAGGTTTCTCCAGCTGCCACTTGACTATAGTTTGTGACTTTTTCCTTTTTTTGAAGAAGAAGAAGAAGCCAAACTTTTGTTTACTTATTTTGAGCATTTAAATGCCTTTGAATAGGACAGGGGAGCTTTAAGACAGTGTTATATTGCAAGTTCCTTTTGGACACTTTTCTTCAATGGAAAAGTAGAAAAATAAATTGATCTGCCTCCTCTTTTCTTTCTTTTTTTAAAAAAATATATTTTATTGATTTTTTACAGAGAAGAAGGGAGAGAGATAGAGAGCTAGAAACGTCGATGAGAGAGAAACATCGACCAGCTGCCTCTTGCACACCCCCTACCAGGGGTGTGCCCGCAACCAATGTACATGCCCTTGACTGGGATCGAACCTGGGATCTTTCAGTCCACAGACCGACGCTCTACTGCTGAGCCAAACCGGTTTTGGCCTCTTTTCTTTTTAAGGCATATATTTTTAAATTGATTTTTGAGAGAGAGAGAGAAATATCAGTGTGAGAGAAAACCATTGATTGGTTGCCTCTCATCTGAACCCCAAGCGGGGGTCAAACCCACAACCTTTTGGTATACAAGACGATGCTCCAACCGAGTTGCCTATCCAGGGCTTGACCCACCTCTCCTTAACATCCACCCCACCCCCAGCCAAAGGTGTTCTGACAATAAATAATATGGACACCAATAAGCAGTATGAAGCACAGGCGGTTTCTAAAGCCAAGATACCATTTGCCCAGATAGCATTCAGGTCGTCAGAGGCGATCGTTACCCAGAGGAACGCTGCACGATTCCTTGTTCAATGGGCCGCATTGACTGAGCAGACACAGAGCCCTGTGCCGCATTCACTGGAAAGCAAACACAACAAAACACCACCAGCCTCAGAGCCCGCCCCGACGCCTCACGCCAGTTCCCCTTTCCACAATGTTCTTGGTGCCTTGAGATTAGTTTGGCATTTTTACAGAGTGACGCTTTGAGGAAATGTCATGTCTCTGCGGCTAGAAGAGACAGACCTGTTTAAAAACCGCCAAACAGGAGCCCAGCCGGGGCAGGAGACCCCAGGACACACTCGTAGGTGCTTTCACGATAAGATCCACCGGCTTGATGGGTTTCCGCAGCTCACAAAGGGCCGGGGAATGAGAAGAGTCGGACAAAGAGTCAGTGGGGCCTGTAGAGGGGCAGAGCATCGCTGCCAGAGTCTTCCAAAGATGCGTTCAAGGCCGACTGCAGACTCTGGAGTTGGGGTGACCTCACTTTGGGGTTCCCTCTTCTCTCTTGCAGGATCCTACTTTACACCAGAATTTCTCAGTCTCAGCACAGTGACAATTGGGACTGGATAACCAACCCTATAACGTGGAGGCGGCCTGCGCACTGAGAATGCTTATCATTGTCCCCGCCCTCTGCCTAATGGAGGCCGGCAGCATGTCCCCTCCCATTGTAACAATAAAAAATGTCTCCGAGACCAGGAGGTCACTGTTCAATTCCCGGTCAGGGCACATGCCAGGTTGTGGGTTTGATCCCCAGTGTGGGGCGTGCAGGAGGCAGCCAATCAATGATTCTCTCTCATCATTGATACTTCTCTCTCCCTCTCTCTCTTCCTCTCTGAAATCTATCTATCTATCTATTGGGTCGGCAGCTAAGTAATTGCGGGTTTCACACACATATGGCTTCAGTTGAATTTTTAGGTTTGCAGACGTAGTACAAATGTAAAACACATTTTGTTATTTGGTAGTTGGCTATTCAGCTGTTAATCAGTGAAAAAAGTTTTTTGATCTGTTTTGTAGTTTTCGTTTGGCGTTCGTTGAAAAATGGAAAATCAAAAGGAACATTTTCGTCATATTTTGCTTTTTTATTTCCACAAGGGAAAAACACATTGCAAGCTCATAAAAAGTTATGTGCTGTTTATGGTGACGAAGCCTTAAAAGAACGGCAGTGTCAAAGTTGGTTTGCCAAATTTCGTTCTGGTGATTTTTCACTCAAAGATGAAAAACGCTCTGGTCGTCCAGTTGAAGTTGATGACGCCCTAATCAAAGCAATAATCAATTCGGACTGTCACAGTACAACACGTGAGATTGCAGAGAAGCTTCATGTATCACATACATGCATTGAAAATCACTTAAAACAACTTGGCTATGTTCAAAAACTCGATACATGGGTTCCTCATGAACTGAAAGAATCACAGTTAACACAACGCATTAGCAGCTGCGATTTGCTAAAGAAACGTAATGAAAATGATCCATTTTTAAAACGACTGATAACTGGCGATGAAAAATGGGTTGTTTACAACAATATCAAGTGGAAAAGATCGTGGAGCAGGCCAGGCGAACCAACTCAAACAACATCAAAAGCTGATATTCATCAAAAGGAGGTTTTGTTATCAGTTTGGTGGGATTACAAAGGAATTGTCTACTTTGAACTCTTACCACCCAACCGAACGATCAATTCTGATGTCTACATTGAACAACTAACGAAATTAAACAATGCAGTTGAAGAAAAGCGGCCCGAATTGACAAATCGAAAAGGTGTTGTATTCCATCATGACAATGCAAGGCCACACACATCTTTGGTCACTCGGCAAAAATTAATGGAGCTTGGTTGGGATGTTTTGCCACATCCACCATATAGTCCTGACCTTGCACCATCTGATTACTTTTTGTTTCGATCTTTACAAAACTCCTTGAATGGTAAAAATTTCAATAATGATGATGATGTCAAATCGTTCCTGATTCAGTTTTTTGCTAATAAAAACCAGAAGTTTTTTGAACGTGGGATTATGATGCTGCCTGAAAGATGGTAAAAGGTCATTGATCAAAATGGGCAATACATTACAGAATAAAGTTATTTAGTTCCATGAAAAAATTGTCTTTGATTTTCTTTAAAAAATCCGCAAGTACTTAGTTGCCGACCCAATATATCTATATCTATATCTATATCTATATCTATATCTATATCTATATCTATATCTATATCTATATCTATCTATCTATCTATCTATCTATATATATATATATATGTGTGTGTGTGTGTGTGTGTGTGTGTGTGTGTATGTGTGTGTATATATATATAATTTTTTTTGGGGGGGGGACCTCTCCAGACAGTGCCATGTGTCCCCAGGAGGGGAGTGGGAAAGGAGACAGAATCCTCCATCGCACCCCTCCCTCCCTTGTCAGGGGAAGGGCTCCTGGCTGCTCCGAAATGGGTACATGGATGAACAGTGCCCGGA